CGCCATCTTGGTTGGCAGTTAATTTGCATATCCTGCTGATTAGCCAATGGGAAGTGTTCGGGGGTATGGTCAATTTGCATGTTTCTCTTTTATTAGATAGGACATAGATGACCTTGATTTTTTTCAGAAATTGATGCTTTTATCTGTGTCACTCTGATTTTAAATGCTTTTTATTATGTATTTTTTCTTAACACAAGTTAATTTTCTTCAGCCTTCAATTCCTTAGAAACAAATAAAAACAAAAACTTTCTCAAATTTCCTTTAACATAAAGGTATCATTTCAAAATATATATTTATTCATATACATTTTTTCCATCTGGAGAAAAGAAGAATCACTCCAGAGGCTTTGTGGGAAGGGATTAAAGATAGTATAAAATTGAAGGGACACTGTTACAGTCTAGTCCAGATGAGAGGAAATGAGGTGAAATGTTAGAATCTGTTGGAATGACTTCTTCAATGTTTGGGATTAGAGGGAAGGATAAATTTGGGATGTCTCACTCATCAAAATATGAAACATCTGAGAGAGGTAGGGTGGATTTAGGAGGAAAAGGTGTTTCGTTCTATATGTAATCTAATGCAGTTGACCACCCTATTTTTCTTGAAGCCCTATACTCCCTTGTCTTCCATGATACCATTTTCCTGGTTCTTTTTCTCCTTTCACTCTTCCCTTTGTAGTTTTTTCCTCCTTTGCCAGCTAATCAAATGAAAACATTCCTCATAGTTCTGTCTAAAGCCATTTTACTCTGTGCTCTTCCTAAGCAATTAAGCAATCTTCTTTTTTAAAAAATATATTTTTATTGATTTCAGAGAGGAAGGGAGAGGGAGAGAGAGATAGAAATATCAATGATGAGAGAGAATCATGGATCGGCTGCCTTCTGCATGCCCTCTACTGGGGATCGAGCCTGCAACCCAGGCATGTGTCCTTGACCGGAATCGAACCTGGGACCCTTCAGTCTGCAGGCCAACACACTATCCCCCGAGCCAAATCAGTTAGGGCTTCCTAAGCAATCTTTCCCATTCTTTTGGTTTTACACATCACTTCTATAATGGCAACGCATAGACTTGGATGGTGACATGTACAGGACTATATCTCTTGTCCTAAATTTTCATCTACCTGTTAGAGATGTTACAGATATCTCAAACTTTTTATGTCTCCACCCATTCATGCTGACTCCATCCTGGCCCCTCACAGGACAGCTAGTCCTACCTGGGTTCAGATTATCTTTTGCCTAAACTCTTTCAATAATTTCCTACCTTGTCTCCAAGTCACCAGCCTCTCAATTTTTTAATTTAACCTAAAACAGCGGTTCTCAACCTGTGGATCACGACCCCTTTGGGTGTTGAACGACCCTTTCACAGGGATCACCTAAGACCATCGGAAAACACATATATAATTACATATTGTTTTTGTGATTAATCACTATGCTTTAATTATGTTCAATTTGTAACAGTGAAATTGGGGGTCACCACAACATGAGGAACTGTATTAAAGGGTTGCGGCATTAGGAAGGTTGAGAACCACTGTCCTAAAACATGAATCAAATCCTATTCTCCTTCACTACCTATAAAATAAATTAAGTCCAACTTTCTTAGTCAAACTGCCAAGGTTTTATAATATTCTCTCACTCCAAGTTACATTTTCCCCACACCCAATTTTTCAACCATATCAGACTATTTCTGTTCTTTAAATTAAACCAGGTTCTTTCCTGCCTCTGCTTTAGTTCATGTGGTACCATCAGTTTGGAACATCCTTTTTTTAATCTCCAGTGATCCAACCCCAACTGTGAAAATGCTTTTCATCTTTTTGGCCCATGCAAATGCTTCCTCCTTTGTAAAGCCCTCAGAGTTGGAATTAATTATTCCTTTCTTTGTTCTTTTAATAAAGCAGCAATTTCCAACCGGTGTGCCATAAGAATTTTTAAAACATGTAATACCCAACTGTTTAGTCAGAGGCACTGACCTCTTTTCCTTTAGAATGCCAGATTAAAAAAATCTCAACAGCCAACAGAAAAATAGCTGTCCAGTATGAATGAATCAAAATTATACCTTTTTTTGTCAGATCCGCAAAAAAATATAATTAATTTTTGGTGTACCACAGAATTTTAGTAATTAGTTTGTGTGTGCCATGAGATGAAAAAGGTTGCAAATTGCTGTCTTATAGCATACTTTCCCCAACTTATGCATATATTTTATTCTGCCATTCACATAAGATTATAAACTCTGAGTGCAGAAGCTCTGCCTTATTCATCTTCTTAAAAATTTATCTTTATTGTTGAAAGTATAACAGATGTCTCCCTTTTTCTCTCATTGCCATATTTGTCTTTATATCCTCCATAGAACCAAGTATATTACTTCACACAAAATAGTAGTTGAATAAATCTTTGATTAGTGTGTAGAAACACAACGGAATTATCTTCTCCTTATCATTCTCATTCTTCATTTTCTATTATATTGAAAGATATATTTGAAGTTGTTACTAGGAAGATTGTATAGGATAACTAATGATTAGCATATAGTTAACAAATAATGCAGATGCCATCTAGACAAACCTCATAGAAAAAGACATATTTGGAGATAATTTTATTTGTATTTTACCACTTGTTTTATTGTGCTCAAATTCTGTTGAAAAACACTTCACCATTTTTAAAATTGTCAATGGCTTTAATATTTCAGGTTGAGAATTTCTTCTGCATGGGATCCCCACTAGCAGTATTTTTGGCATTGCGTGGCATTCGCCCAGGGAACACTGGAAGTCAAGACCATATTTTGCCCAGAGAGATTTGTAACCGGTTACTAAATATTTTTCACCCAACAGATCCAGTGGTGAGTTGCACATATAGACATTTTTCTCTCAATATTATATTGTTCCTAAAAGAATCTGTAAGAAATCCTGCTAGGTACTGAATTAATGAGAAAGAGTTCATTTATCTTTTGTATTTGCATAGGTTCATATTTTTAAAACATTTGTGTTTTGGATGATGTGGGACTCAGGAAGTAAAATACCTTAGAGATGACCTGTTTATGTTGTACTTATAGTATAAGAGTATAATGTAAAAATATTATCTTGATAACTAATACAAGGGATGAGAATCTTCTGTACTTTCAAACCATAAGCAGTTGTAAGGCCAATAACCTAGCAATCATAAATTTTGAGAATCCCACTTTAACTGTTTTTCTCTAAAATATGCTACAATATGAAATGTATGTGGTAGATCCTCTTAGAAGTGAAAATATTTAAATATTATGTATTAAAACATGAAAAGGTGGAAGAGTTTGGTTTAGCCTGGTGGGATTATAAAATTTTGGATTTTTACATGTTCTGTTGTAAATAATTTGTTTAATACAAACAGTCCAAGGGTCTTGCATCCAGGTAAACAGTTTGATGCATCATTTTTCAGATGAAAAAAAAAATGATTCCTTAAATCTTTTGGGGGACTAGGCTAGATATACCTAAAATTAAAACAAACTATTTTAAGTAGCATTCTGAAAAATAGATTTATATAATTGTGTAAAGTCTTTTAAAAGATTGTTAGCTAATACCAAATAAATAAAACACTGACTAAACACTAGAATTTTAGAAAATTGCCCATATGTTAAAGAATCAAAACTGCTATCTTTAAGAAATAAATTTAACTGAACTGGAATCTAATATAAGGCTTAAATACAGACTGCACAGTCTTGGCCCAAGTCACTTCAGAAACTGTTTCTTATCTATATAATGTAGATGATAATGTTTACTTTATGGGTTAGGATTAACTAATATATATGGAAACATCTAGCTAGATGTTCCGTATTTCATTAATATACATTCATTTTACTCATTATTTTTATAACTTGAAAGTGAACTTGAGTTCATAGGTGAACTCTGAGCTTTCAGTGTTCTTTGTATAATGTTAAAGTTTGTTCCATTATAAAGGAGGGTTCCAAACTCATTTCGTTAATATAAATTATTTTTATTATTCATTTTATAGTTTTTTGTGATTTTTTTTAAGTAATGCTTTTTTAGTGTTTATGTCATAACTGTGCTAGGCAGTTTGTACAACCATTATCTATTTCCAGCATCCTTGTGAGGTAGGAAGTGTTATTGCCTTTCTACAGCTCAGGAAACTGAGACTGAGACCTTGTGACAGGCTAGAATATGAACTCGGGGAATACTGACACCAAATCCATTGCCATTTCTGCTGTATCGCCTCCACTTCACAGGAGACAAATAGTCTTCTATTGGGATCTAATTTGTGTGTTACTATGTTAATGTATTTGAAAGTGGGGTTTACTAAGAGCTTCTAAGTTAGTAATAATTGCCCTTATTTACTGTGTTCCAGTTTACTCGTGACTGCTTCCGCTTTGTTTGTGAGACTAAAATTAATCTGTTAGATGATGTCAGGGCATAGTAAAAATGAATTTTTTTCTCTGGGAACTATTATCCTAGACTAACTCTGTTTTTTTATAGTCCCATCATTAAGGAAATATTAGACCAACTACATATTATTAAGAGTGAACAAATGGGAAATACATGTTAGAAATATCAGGTTTTTAAAAATTCCCTGAGGTCTGCTGAGCATGCAGTAGAATAAGAATAAATAGAGTTTACTAAAATCTGAGCCTTAATGTTGTGGTTTGTTTGTTTTTTAATCAAGGCTTATAGGTTAGAACCGTTAATACTGAAACACTACAGCAACATTTCACCTGTCCAGATTCACTGGTATAATACTTCCAATCCTTTACCATATGAGCATATGAAGCCCAGCTTTCTCCATCCATGCAAAGAATCTACCTCCGTTTCAGAGAATGAAGGCATTTCCACAATACCAAGCCCTGTGACCTCACCTGTCTTGCCTCGCCGACACTATGGAGAATCTATAACAAATATAGGCAAAGCAAGCATCTTAGGTAATTTCGCTTCAGTATTCCTATCAATGAATATAAATACTTTTTATTCAGGCATTAAATTTGGGGTATTTGGAATTATTCTATGTATTACAAACCAATCAACAGTTAACCCATGTGTTTAGAAATAACTGCCCTCTCGCTGTTCATATTTGAGGGCCAAAAACCTTGAACTTCTCTAATTAGATCCAATCCTATAATTTTAGATGCGAAATAGCTGAATGCACAAGGGTCTGAGGATCAAGTCCCTCATTTTAACTTGGCCCTACTACTTCCTGTGAGATCTTGGGCAAGTCCCATAGATCTTAATGCTTCCTTATCTGTGAAATGAGAAGGTACTTGAGTTGTAAGGGTGCCCCTGCCATCTAGTTCTCTGATCCATGTCCCAAAAGTCTCTTAAATTGTGTCCTTCCTGAGGGCAACAAGGATATTTAATTTGTCTCTGAATGCTCTCCATTACAGCTACAATATTTGGTGTAGCACTGGAGTTCAATAATGTGCCACTTGAATTTGTCCATTGCTTTTGGTTATAAGTTGCCTTAATATAAAATGCCACAAGATGGCACTCTAAATAGGCTTTACCTGCTGGTTTAATTGCTATGTCACTTTATCATACAGATTTTTTATTGATAACTTTTTATTACATATCCATCTAACTTCAGTATTAAGCATATCAACAGTAAATATATGCCCGTGTCGTGTATTTCTAATTTTACCAAATACTTTAATAAATAATGATCACTTGAGTAAAATAGAATCTTTATTCTTTTGTAAGCTATATTTTTAGAGTTTTTACATTCTCTTTCTGTTCAACACCAGTTTTATTTAGAAACCTACAATATAAATTGTAACTTTTTTATGTTCCCACTCTGGAAAAACATGACTAGAGCTTGGTGCCTCTGCCAGTTGGCTATAATTATGGGTGGTGCTCTTTGGCTTGGTATGTGGTGTAATTCAGCAGAATGACTGCCCTGTTTTGTGAAATGCAGGGGCTGCTAGCATTGGAAAGGGACTTGGAGGAATGTTGTTCTCAAGGTTTGGACGTTCATCTACTGCACAGCCATCTGAGACACCAAAAGACTCAATGGAAGACGAGAAGAAGCCAGTTGCCTCACCTCCTACTACCACTGTGGCAACACAGACCCTTCCACATAGCAGTTCTGGCTTTCTTGATTCTGCATGTTAGTTCATACTGTTTTTTTATGCTGTATCTTTTTTCAAATTGAGGAGAGCAGAGAGGATTATGATATTAACACAGGCAGTCAACTCTAAAATCTAAAGCTTTTAAAGAAAAAAATCCATTTCTGTTGCTTATATTTTTAAGACTACTCCCAGGTAAATGCAGTTTTATTCTCTGCATTGGTGAATTAATAATAATCATTGGCATTATTATGGCATGGGGGTCTTAAGCATCAAGCATAAAACAAATCTCTCTGAGGTAAGCACCCCCTGGTTTTTATAAAGTAGATTTTTAAAAACATGGTCTTCTCAAATTCATGTAGTTGCATTAAACCTATGCTGTATCTACTCTTGATACTTTTTAAAAACCACTATGCCAAAGCCATTCTGCTACTTATCCCACTGTTCTTTTATCCAACCCGATACTAAAACCATGGCCTCCAGTTCTAGCCCCACTACTAGTGCAAAGCAGGTACTCAAGAAATGAGTGAATGAATGGATAGTTTATTCTGGACATGGCATTGGAATGGAGCTATGTTCAATTTTTTTCCAGTGGATTTAAAAGGTCTAAAATCGTGAATTGTTGTGAAAAACTTACTTAGTATATATTTACTTCCAAGGGTCTAAACTTGACCCTCACTTTTAAGTGTCCAGTAAAATAAGACTAAAAAGTCAAGTCCTATTTTTCCATTAGTTTATATAAGGAAATGTAGATTCTGAAACTAGCCTACTTCCTTCTGTAACTATGTGAAGAGAAAAACTTTCTCTAAAGATGTTTAAACATTTTATTTCGGATACTTTAAGACTTGTTTTCTTACTGTGTCTGCTGCTCTGAATTTCAAAATGGCCAGCATTGCCATCCGTAAAACATGCTTAGAAGGAAGCTCAGTTGTGGCCTCCTAGAGGCTGGATCTTTCTCCAACTGAACCCCACCCCAGGATTAATTATCCTGGACATTGGACATTTCTATTTAGACTAATAGCATTTTTTTTTAACTTGATCTTATCTTTGTCAGATTCTAAGTACTGGAAATTCTTTAATTGCAAGCCTTTTGAATACTGCCTAGAAAATTCATTTTATACTTTGATATTTGTACAAATTTTGTATGTTCTTGCAAGATATTGGTGACTTAAGCTCTCACTTCTACTTAATATCAGGATTGTGATTGTGAAAATACAGAAGTGTGTTGTAACATGCAGATGTTTAAAGAAAACTCCTGAGGCAAAATAATTTTTCTAAAAGAATTTTGTGACAGGATAGGTAAAAAGTCACAATTCCTCATAATGTTAACGCACAACAAAGAGCTAGTAAATAGTGGGATGAATGAGGGAACAAAAAGAGCAGCGTATGTAGCACAAGAGAAAGGATGATGAAGACAGAGAGAATCTATAGAATCTGAGGGAGGAAAACTATTCTTTAGTGTTTGTTTGTTTTTTAACATAGTAATATTCAAAATGGTAAGAGAGAAACCTATTCTTTCAGGACACCAGTGAATAGAGGTGCTTAGCTGTACTGCATCATTTATTTTGATAGCTTAACAAAATACATTTGCTGTTATTCTTATATATAAATTCTTTGTTAGGGCCTAATGGTAAATTTCTTGTCAACTATACACACAATTAAATCTGAGATAATCATGAATCTTAGTTGCATATATTCATCTCTAGATATAGATATAACTATTAAAATTGGACCACTACTCCTATAGTAGAATTCTGTCTTTTAAATCAAATCCTCAAGATTTGCCTTACTAATTCTTGGACTTGCTTCAAAGATATATTCTTCTGTGTAATCCAGATTGAAACAAATTTCTTAAGTCTTAATTGCTATTTTGGCTGTCTCTTGCAAATCATAAAACTTGCTCAAGTCTTCCTTTTTGAATTTGGTTATTGTGATTAGGTAATTCTGGCTTCTTTCCTTCTTTCTGCTCACCTTCATTGCCTTGGTTCTTCTCCATAACCTTTATTCTGAAGCTACCAACTTTGATTCTCTCTTTCTTTGAAGGTAAGATGGACACAGGCTTTGAGATCAATCAGGGTTTCTCTCTTTGAAGAGTAAGTTCTATCAGTTGTCATCAAGTTGATGGCACTAACTATTCTTCATTTCTTTTTAAAAAGTCTAGGTTTATTCCTAGTGGTTTCACTACTTCATTTCTTATGCTCCCCCGTGTTTGTAACATGAAAAAGAAAGGTCTGTTTCTTTTAGCATTGTTTTCCCTCTATATCAGAACTTAAATGAACTATACATTTTGGGGGTATCTGGATGTTAACAGATTATGACATTATATTTCAAAATTAATTAGGCTTACATTTTCCATGAAGGAAATCTTTACAAACATCAAAATGTGTACTTCTTTATGTATGCTAGGTTCAGTCGGCTTATTTGGGAGGACTGTTCTAACTTTTGGCCACTGCATCATTGAAGGCCATTTATAGCTATCAGCCAATACTTTACAGCATCTTGTGTTTTTTTTTCACAGATTTCAGACTTCAGGAGTCGTTCTTAAATCTCCCACATCTTCTTTTTCCGGAAAATGTAATGCAGAATAAAGATAATACCCTCGGTATGGTATACGTTAGGAATAGCATTCAGAATACTATGAAAATGATCTACTTAGAGAGTTCTGCTCATTGGAAAATTGAATTACTTCTCCTATGAAATCAGCCTATACACTATTTTATATGTACTTTCTAGTATGTATTTTCTAATCTTAAATGGTAGTGATCCTGAAACCCAACTGTTGATTAGTGCCTTATGTGCTAAAATATATGATACTCATATATACTCCTACAGAGAAGGAACCTTTTAGAGAGGGAGAAAAGCATAAGCCATTTTTTCCTTCTCTGTTGTCCTAAAGGCTTCACTATACTTTTTATGTACTACACTAGATGTAAAAGGTTTTCATAGCATCAAGGATGTAGTTATATCTAGCTATTTCAGATATTAGTAACACTACCACTTAGGGCTGATACTAAGTATTTCATAGCTGTTATCTCGTTTCAGTACAAATATAGGGTGTCCCCAAAAAATGTATACATACTTTAATAGCTGATAGCTCAATTTTGAAAATAAAATGTATTTTAATAAACACTGCATTTTAAATTATTCAAAGTGTGTATACATTTTTTAAGACACCCTGTATTTAATATTCTTTTGAAAGGTAGATTTGCTTAAAAAAATTAGTATTGGATGCAAGAGATGTTTTCATTCTCTTTCAGCAGATTCTAAATATCATGAAGGATTAATATTGGCAGTTTAAATTATTTTTATCAATTAACTTTTCATTCCTTTTTCCACAACTCCTTACTTTTTCCATTTTTTTTTTAAATAGTGTATTTTGTCTTTAACAAAAGACGTTACAGGTTTTTCTTTGGATGTTTTAACTATATCTATCTAAATTTATAATTTCTGTATTTAATTGCTTACTTTTTTTTCTGTTTTCAAAACAACTCTTACTTGATACAAGTTTCAAAACTGTTTTAGTATAACAAGCTGATTTCATTTTGTTTGTGCTTGTTTCTCCCTAGCCACAGTTTGTGTTGATCTAACTCAGTGAATTCCCCTCAAGAAATGAGCTTATGAAAGTGCTCACTCTGGTCTCTGCTCATGTAATTGTTATTTACGTAAAGAAATAATTCAATGTGTGCTTTTTGCATATTTAGTTGGAGAAAGGAAAATCAATCTACTCATACATTTGTCCTGCATTCAAGCAGCCGTTATATCCATTGTCTTAAAGCCTTCCCAACTCCATAAGCCGTTAGACCACTAATCTAAGCACAGCACTGAGGACACTTCCCTTCACACTGGTGTAGACTGCAGACATTTGCTTTGGGGAGTAGGGGAGGAAATGTGTTCATCTGCATGACTCCCCAGGAAAGAAAATAATCCATGTTTTAAAGCATATAAGCAAACTGCTGATGATTATTAAAAGCCAACATTTTTTTCTCATTTTTACTTCTCTTCAGCTGTTCAGGAATCTCATTCTTTTCTTTGTGAATAGGAGAATTCTAGCACTTAGTCATCCAAGAAAGAGAAAGGAGGACAAAGTGACGATTTTATGTTCTTTTTTCTCTTTGACCTAACTCAGTGAGAGAAACTAGGGAAAAACTACTATGCTGTGTTATGCTGCCTATTCTTTATATGGTAACTAGAGGCCCGGTGCATGAAATCTGTGCACTGGAAGGGGGTGGTCCCTCAGCCTGGCCTGCGCCCTCTTGCAGTCTAGGACTCCTTGCTCCTTACCACCCGCCTGCTCACTGCTCATTACCACTCGGCTCACTGCCGTGGAGGTGGGAGAGGCTCCCGCCACTGCTGCTGCACTTGCCAGCCGTGAGCCTGGCTTCTGGCTGAGCAGTGCTCCAGCTGTGGGAGCACACTGACCACCAGGGGGCAGCTCCTGCATTGAGCGTCTGCTCCCTGGTGGTCAGTGCACATCATAGTGAACAGTTGTTCTGGTCATTCCACCATAACGGTCGCTGGGCTTTTATTATATAGATAATAGGAAAGTAGGTCCATGGCAATTCCAGGTAGATTTGGGCCCACTTTGGGCAAGACATCTCACAGCACATACAGAGTGGAACTAAAGTAGGTGTACAGTTGTTTGTATGGAAAACAGTGCAATAATTAATAAATACTAATACAAGAATAAACTGTTTTTGCATATTCACAACTATAAACCTACTTTTCCCCACCCTGTATAGAATGGTGCTGTCCTGTAGAATCTCAGTCCCTTGGGAAATCTCTATACACAGGAGAGAGAAGGTGAGACATAAGCCCATCTAATTTTATCCATCCACCTGCAGAATCAACACAAATGTGAGGTTAACCACACCAGCAGCCAGACTGCCTGGGGTAAACTGTTTAAGGAAGGTGCAAGACAAACAGTTTCATCAGGTACAAGCTGGCTACCTAGATCCCATTTGGTAGGGACACATTAAGATAAATAGAAAGGGATAGGGAGGGCCAGTCAGTTAACAATTATTAAAGTCCCTAGAGTCTAGGTCAGGGGTGGGCAAACTTTTTGACTCGAGGGCCACAATGGGTTCTTAAACTGGACCGGAGGGCTGGAACAAAAGCATGGATGGAGTGTTTGTGTGAACTAATATAAATTCAAAGTAAACATCATTACATAAAAGGGTACATCTTTTTTTTTTTAGTTTTATTCATTTCAAACGGGCCGGATCCGGCCCGCGGGCCGTAGTTTACCCACGGCTGGTCTAGGTGATAAGAATAACAAGGGCATATAATAGGGTAACAATTAAATTAGGCATTTCAGTGTCTAATATATGAAAGGCAGTGTTGCACATAAGAATAGCATAGTAAGAATAAATTTTAGGTACATAATATTAAAGTGGAGCCAATAACACTTGTTATAACAAGAAAAGTCTCACACTCTAACTTTAAAACACAATTCAACTTAAGACTAGTTAGACTAGTAAGATTTTCTACAGTGGCATTTTAAAGGGAATTCTTAGAAGTTATTAGGTGGTTTTCACCACTATTCATTCATAGCTTTCCCATTTCTTCTGTTTCTCCTTTCCCTTTATAACTAACTTCACCTTGACTCTTTCTCATCATGCTTGAGAATTCCAGTTTCCTCTTTTATCATCTTCCTGTCTGTTGTGCCAGAATGTACCTACAATGTCACATGGAATACAGAAGATAAAAGATGCAGACATTACTACTCCACAGTTCCACATACGGCTTTCAACTATTTCTAATTTATGGGTTAGCTTATTATAATTTAAATGAGGAAAATAACAGTTTAAAAAAACCTTATAAAAGCCTATGTTGATATATCTTACAAATGGTTTAATAACTAATTGGTATTTTGTGCTGTTGAAGTGTAAACCTTACTTGAGAATGCATAGATGGATCCATGGACATTTCTTGTCAGAAAAGAACAATTGAATAGAAAAGTAACAACTGTAGCCCTGGCCAGATAGCTCAGTTGTTAGAATGTTGTCCCCACACGCCAGGGTTGAAGGTTCGATCCCCAGTCAGGGCACATATAAGAATCAACCAATTAATGTGTAAGTAAGTAGAACTAAAAATTGATGTTTTTCTCTCCCTTCCTCTCTCTCTAAAATTAAAATTAAAAAAGGAAAAATAACAACTGTAGATGCATTTTTAAGTCACCAAAAGGTATTGTCACAAAATATTGTTAAAATAAGTATTTGCTAAACATTTAAATGAAATTATTCTCTAGAATGATGTGGTTTTCTACATGCAATTAACAAAGTCCCAGTATAAAACAAAACCCAACTTTTCTCCAACCTCCTCCTCAATTTTTGCCAGTTTTCACTTTTCACATCCTCTGGCTCTGGACAAAGAGCAGACTTTGAATGTGAGTGGTAGTAACTTGGGTGTTTTTTGTTTTGAAGATGGACCCTTCAAAATACTGACTGTATGGCTCACTCACAATTTTAAAAGAGTTAGTTCCTGAAGATCAAAATACCAATTTTCTAAGTGTCTTTTCTCTAAGGATTTATTAAATGAATTGATTGAAATTTTCCTATAATCTTGATTTGTTGTGATTTTTTTCTCTAACAGGTATTATAGGACTTTCTGTGGATTTTAGAAAAGATTTGATTAAATTCACTGAATCGTTGAGTGCAGCATTGTTATAAAGGAAGTCCTTCCTCCCAAGAATCAGCACTCTTCCTCCCAGTTTAACGTTCCCAGCCACAGCAGACATTTATTGAGCAAATGTATGTTCCCCATGTTAGGCTCTGTTAACTGGACAAAATCTAAACTGCCAAGTGGGGAAGAAAACTGTGGCACTGTAAAAAGATGGTTATCTTCTAGTGCAGTGGTTCTCAACCTTCTGGCCCTTTAAATACAGTTCCTCATGTTGTGACCCAACCATAAAATTATTTTCGTTGCTACTTCATAACTGTAATGTTGCTACTGTTATGAATCGTAATGTAAATATCTGTTATGCAGGATGGTCTTAGGCGACCCCTGTGAAAGGTTGTTCAACCGCCAAAGGGGTCGCGACCCACAGGTTGAGAACCGCTGTTCTAGTGTATCCCCCAGAGCCTTGGAGGGGCCATTAGTGACCTGTTGCACTCCCACAGCTATTGCTGCATGTAAGCCTGGCCCATAATTCTGCAGGAGGGCTGCTTTCCTTATTTTACAGGTTAGGCACAAGGGAAAGCCAGCATTTGAGCCCAGTTTGTTTTACCCTAAATATACCAAGTGAAAAATTTTTAATTTTAGAGAGAGAAGGGAGGGGGAGAGAAAAATCATCATCAATCGGCTGCCTCCTGCACACCCCCTACTAGGGATCAATCCTGCAACCCGGGCGTGTGCCTTGACCAGGAATGGAAACATGACCTCCTTGTTCATGGGCTGACGCTCAACCACTAAGCCACACCGGCCTGGCAGTGAATTTTTGTTTGTTTTCTTCAATTATTATTCCATATTAACCTGGGCACACAAAGAAAGGACTCACCACATAGAATCCTGAGGTAATAAGGCTCTTCTGAGTGTTTTTCCCATGTAATTAGAGTGGAAAGTCACTTTAAAATATATATACATATTTATCATTAGAAGAATCACTTCTATTAGCTAAATTTTTATCCTCAACTCATAAGTCTATATGGAACCTATTTTATTGTAATATTTATTTGTTTGTTTTATTTATTTTTTTTTTAGTGGAATTGGATCACAGAATTGACTTTGAACTCAGAGAAGGACTTGTGGAGAGCCGCTATTGGTCAGCTGTCACGTCACATACTGCCTATTGGTCATCCTTGGATGTTGCCCTCTTTCTTTTAACCTTCATGTACAAACATGAGCACGATAATAATGCAAAACCCGATTTAGATCCAATTTGAACTTGTGAAGGACATTAATGGCCCAATAATGATTTTTTTCTATTAAAATATGTGTGTCAAGATACAGATTTCAGGTTTAAGTATGTTTCAGTTTTGTTTAGAGCAAGAAATATTTGAATTTAAAAGCACTTTATTTTATTTAAAAACAAGACATTTTTCAGTCCAAAAGAAGTAATTTACAATTTTCATCATTTTAATTATGAGTCTGATAGAACCCCCTGCAGAGAATCAAGCAAGACTTGGAAGTAAGGAACATTTGGGTGAACTTCAAGGTTATAAATCGCAATCTAATTTCTCCCAAATATAAAGGCATATTAATGGGTCGAATATAATGTATTAACCAAAATATGTTATAAGTCTAAAATGGTCATGATGTAGTATATTCTATGTAAAGATCATAAGGTGGTATCATTGTTTTAGATTTCCACAATTCCTTTGAAAGAAGAGTATAACATTTAATGTTTTGAATTTAACTTGTAGCAAAACTAATGCTAAAAAAGAAACAATATTTGGACTACTGTATTTATAATTTATTATCTCTGACAAATTGCTTTATTTCAATGTATGAAACATTACTTTTTAAAATGTTTTCTTTGAACAATTTAAGAAAAACATTTATTTTCTAAAGTGTTAAGACCTTTTTTTTCAGAACGTCATCTTTGTACTCTTCAGATGAATATTTAGACACTGTGGCATACCTTGAGTATTTTTTTTTCATTAAAAACTTGTAGTTTCACACAAATAACACTAGTTGAATTATTTTGAAAAAAAAAACAGAACTTTTTATTATGTCACATGTATCTCAGAGAAAACTAAAGTCTTCTAAACTTAACATAGTACTCCACAAGGAGTACATTTCATTAACTTTATTGGAAAATTTAGTAAACTTCTTTGGAATCAAGAGTATGACAACTATTTTAAATATATAAACATCTATGTGCCAAACAGCATATATAAAGGGACAGAGTGCCACTAACAGGTTCTATTTTAAAAGTGTTTCAGAAAACATGATTGAGACATAAGGCACAATAGATCAGAATTCCAAGGCATTAGAAGAGTTTTCCTCAGCTTAATCATTTCCACAGTGCTTTTCATCTGAGGAGCTCAAAGTGCTTTAAGAGTCAGTAATCTATGTAGTAGCTCCTCGAGGTAAGTAAATGAGTGTTTTTCTCATGTTACATGTTAATACACTAAGGCACCAAAACATGTAAAGTGCCTTGAATTAGATAACAGAGCAAATCAGAAGAGCTCAGATTGAAGCCAGACCATATTCTTTGATAGCAGTGACTAATAATTCACAGGTTACCTCTTAGTAGTTTGCAAACAGTAACAGAAGTTGCAATTCATAATTTGGAGAAATGGCTGACGCTAATATTTTACTCTGCTTGTCTTACACGTTCTTGGGTTCTCACACACAAAGGAAGAGTCACCTAGAGGGGATCAGTAGCCGTCTCTGCCACAACCATCCCTCACTTCTGAGTGGCTTCCACTAGGTTCCACTTAAGGTGCTGTCTTCACTTACCGCACAAGGATCTTTCTAGCTTCCAGAAACCGTTAGCCTGGTGCACAGTTGGCCAATTGCACATCTCTCCTTCTTTCTTTATAAGGCAGTGGGATCTGTGGCTTACCTGTAGGTTTTACTCAGCACCATCAGTCCTCTTGTCTATTTTGGCCTTTCATTGAATTTGCACAACATAAAACACTCCTTTTTAATGTTTAAAAAGATTCCAAGGCTCCATGACCAAATAAGTGACTAAGAAACCCTTGCTCTAAAAGGCTTTTGATGAGATCTTAGCAAAGCTGAAGTAATCTCTTCTGAATTTAGAGATTCCTGTGAACTCAGGTCATTTTCATACCCCGCTTATTTCCTAGGTCTAACTTAGTTCTCAGGAAAGTTAAACGCATCTCATATGACTGTTATTAAATGTGCTTGAGCATACGTTGCTGTGGGTGGTATGGCACTCAAATGCCTAAGAGCTTTAAGGAATTCATTCTTAACCACTAGAGTGCAAAGAGCCCTTTTTACCTGAGAAGAAAGTCTATCAAACATTTAAGTTTAATATTGAGTAAAAAGAAAATTATATTTCCATAACTGTAGGAATATATCTGTTTCCCTTTTTTCATAGTCAGAAAACAAAATCAAACTTAACCACATGGAATTTGAATCCTTGAGAGGAACAACATTCAAAACTCCCTTTTCAAAATGAGATATTCCAGATTACTGGACAGGTGTTTTGTTTTCAGTTCATTACTTCATCAACAGAGATGGCAATTCTGATTTCACGGTACTCTTCTTGTTTCTATGTCTGCATGTTATCATGTAATGTACTTGTGTAATCTCAAGTAATATACAGAATATGTATGATTCGGGCTTTAGAAGCTAAGTCAGTTACTGAGTAACATTTTACAACTTTATTCCAGCAAGTACTAAATTGGCCAAAAATTTGTTTTTGATACCATTAAAATTTTATTCTCTATTTTGTGTATATGCTATGATGATTCTTCTGAATACTGGTTAGATCATTCAATTTTAATCCAGTTAGATTCCCCAGGGTTATTTAAACTTAAAATGAGAATGTTTTGGATTAAATCTTGCTTTATTTTTACTTTAAAATTAGCTTTTGCAAAAGCCTTTTCTTAGTTCATAACTTTATTTTCAATAGTAATTATACTTACAATCCAGTGTCACTGTGTTTTAAAACATAATTACAAAGTGTACTCTTTTCCAATAACTACTCCTTTATATGTGAAGCAAGCCATAGGAATCTTACGTTTTATTTATTTCTGTCAAACTGCATCTGTCAGCCTTTGAAAGTTCTCACACTAAACATGTTCTATGGAAGCCCTCAGTGACATGTAAACATTCATTCTTTTCCTTGCTGTGTTTCTGTTGCGGGCTGAAGCATCCTGCTCTCCAAGGCATTGGTTCAAAACCCCACGTCCCAGGTCTGTGTTCCTGCGAAGAGTAGACAGGAAAAGAAAAGTTGCCAGTGCAGTGTCACGGCCAGTGCCCCCATGCACTGCTGTGGAGTCGGACCTACCCCAGGGGTTTCATTGGAAGGCCTGGAGTAGGGGAAATTAGTGAATTGCTCTTTGATTAATTACGTTAGTTAATATTTCTGTCTTTTCAGCTACTAATAAGGCTTTGGTACAATGGCAGAAACTAATTTGAGTATGTTTTACTGTTGTTTTTTTAAATAATCTTTTGTTAGCATGGAAATGAGGGTAAAAAAAGGGGGGGTGTTAAAGAAGGGTCAGGGCAAAGTACAAAGAGGATATGGCAATCAGACACTGGAGAACTAGAATTTGACTAAACCGTGTGACTATTGGATAGTTGACTTCTGCGGTTATTCTCAAATTGCCTCTTATCTTGCTCTGCTGCCATCTCTAGGCCTCAGCCTCTGCCAGGAATCAGATGGTGCCTTGGCTGAATTGGAAACGCATGCATTAAATATTTTTGTGGTTAGGTATGGGCAGTATGTATAGTTCCCTAACGTTTTATAATCCTTTACCTACATGAAAAACAGAGAGCACACTTGGCAGGAAGCATCCCCATTGAACTCTGTTACCTCGAGGATATGAGTCTAGGGAACTCCCACACCATCTCCCTAATTTCTCCTTTTGCATCAGCCAAGGGCAGAAGGAAGTTACCAAGGAAATGTTTATAGTATTGAGCTTAGGGTAGTACTAGTATACAGAATGGCAGGATACAGGATTTCATCTCAAAGGTCTCAGTTTGTAAACATTCGTGCTGTGATGGGAACAGCCCGGTTATGTATGTCCTGTTTCATACTTGAGTGGATGTTTGTGATCATTTTCCAAAAATCTTAAAATTTCAGTGTTAGAACAAATTTTAGAGGTCATCTAGTCCAACCCTGTTGTTTTTTTAAAATATATTTTTATTGATTTCAGAGAGGAAAGGAGAGGGAGAGAGGTAGAAATATCAATGATGAGAGAGAACCATTAATTGGCTGCCTCCTGAATGCCCCACACTGGGGATTGAGCTCACAACCTGGGCATATGCCCTGATAGGAATCGCTCAACCACTGAGCCACCACGCTGCACACCCTATTTTAGTTCCATGCGAGCATTTAAATAACGTAGAGGTCATGAAAAGGAAAGTGATGGGATAGTACATTAGGTTCAGCCCAAAGATTCAATGAAAGACTGACTACACAACAGAAAGGGGGGAAGTGGTGGAGTCTCCAAGGAAGAATATCATGAACAGCAGGATTCTGGAGCTGGAAGGGGTATAGAGATCATTTTCCAAAGCATGCTCTGCAGATGTTAACGTCATCTCAGACAATAAGTTGGGAAATGCCAGATTTAAAAGATTCCTTTACAGCAAGGCTTTGGGAGCCTTTGACACACTAAATGCAGCGTGAATCTGTCTGGTGCTATGGGGGAGGGAGGAGGAAAGGAAAGTTTTTCTAAACTTATTTAACCAGACTTTTTAAAAATTGGAATATACTTAGAAAATTGCTGACCACACTTATTTTCTTTATTATGAAGAGTCATCCGTTGGTGTGAATACTTCATTTGACAAGTGGCCCCTCCTACCCTTTAAGATCACATGGCCAGCCAAAGATAGAGTCAGAATTAGAACCTTGTCCTAATTGCCAGCTATGTCTAAGACCACACTGCCTATTTCCTTCCCCTGGTAGACAGGGAATTCCTAAAGGTAGAAATGGCCCCTCTGTTTTTGTGCCTCCTCCCTAATCTGTTGCTTTAGGTGCTGCAAACTCAGAATACCTCCAGGCTTGAGTTCCCTGGGGGTCCCGTCTATTCCAAGACCCTCTTGAAAGATGCCCTCCCTGGTCCGGACAGCCTTCCTTTCAGTTTCAGACTCAGAGTACCCAGGAAAAAGAAAAGCAAAAGGGTGAAAAAATAAAAATGCCCAGGGAACATTGTGTTTTTCACTCCGGTGACCAACGCGAATTTGATAGGGAGACAAGTTGCATAGTGTAAAATGTTCAATGTTCCATTTCTTCTCATGATGTTTATATGTAGCCTTTTATCAATGTATTATAAGCAGGACCCTTTTAAAACAGTTACAACATAGATTAACTAATAGGAATTTTAAGTTCTAAGTGCTACACATTTTGGAGAATGGGAGAAAAGGTTTTGCTGCTGCTCGTGTGTGTGTGTGTGTGTGTGTGTGTGTGTGTGTGTGTGTGTGTGTGTGTTCTCCCCAAAAATAGTCTCTTGGCAAATCATTAGACTTTTCCTCTGTCTTTGTGTTTGAAGAAGGGTGGGAGTGTGCTTAGTATTGTCTGTTACCTTATGGTTTTTCATTTACACATAACAGGGTGCAACTTGCTTCCTCCCCACCCTGCAGTTGTCAGGATGTGTTGGAAAGCTATTCTTTAGGAAGATCACATCTGGTCTTCTGCTGGAGTCGGATGAAAACAAGTATATTAACACTTCACCTTTAATGCTCACTCCTGCCAACATCAGATATCCATGAGCACCATTCATCTCTTCCCTTGACTGCACCCACACCCACTACCATCTCTGCTTGATCTCTTTCCTGTGAGCTTTTTGTTAAAGGTGTGACCATTTTCTGGTTCCGTGGCTGTCCTAGTACATACAGCTCTGCCAGGAAGAGCATGGGGAGTCTTTTGCTCTTTGCTCGTAGGTACATTTCCCTGAAGCAGCTGGCACTGTGACTCTCCTGAGACCCCGAAGGTGTTTTCTCTTTTTATTTCATTCTTTTATCCAAATTGTGTTTATTGGGATGGTTTCCTACTCGTCTTGATTTGAGGTGCTTTTAGTGCTGCTTCCTTCTGAAGGGGCATCCTTCTGTAAGCCTTGCTTTTCCTCCTGTTGGCGGACAGAGAGCAGTGGAGCAACCAGCCCACAAAACTACCGTTCGTGTGTGGCTACAGATGGCGGTGGTTTTATAGCATCCTGGGCATTTCACAGCCATGAAGTAGGAGCTGGGGCTCTGCACCAGGCGCTGCTGCTTGTGCTTCCTCTTCTCTTCCGGAGAGGGATGGAGGAGCTCCTTAGCGAGAGGCATATTGTCGTGGGGAGGTCGTCACCGCCCGAAAGGCGTGTTTTCTTTTCTCAGCTTCTGTGGCCTCTTCTTACGGTCACTCCCTTTCACAGTACTACTCGCTGTCTATGACTGTGGTACCAACTAAGAAAGTGGCCTTTTTCTTTTTCCTTTCCTTTGTTACCTTTCCTTTTTATTATTATTATTTTTAATATATTTTATTGATTTTTTACAGAGAGGACGGGAGAGGGATAGAGAGTTAGAAACATCAAGGAGAGAGAAACATCGATCAGCTGTCTCCTGCACACCCCCTACTGGGGATGTGACTGCAACCAAGGTACATGCCCTTGACCGGAATCGAACCTGGGACCCTTGAGTCCAAAGGCTGACGCTCTATCCACTAAGCCAAACCGGTTAGGGCTGTTACCTTTCCTTTTCAATAGTCAAGGCAGGTTAATTTTCTCAACTCCTCAGTTTTACTGAAGGATTATTCCTGTTTTTATCTCTGGAGTGATCAGTTTGGATTGGAAAAACACACACACACACACCGTAACTCTGATTTTAGAATTGTTGGAACTAGTACATGCACACTGAATAATTTCTTTTTGTTGTTGTTAATCCTCATCTGAGGATATTTTTTCCATTGGTTTTTAGAGAGAATGGAAGGTAAGGAGGAAAGGAGAGAAAGAGAGAAACATGGATGCGAGAGAGAGACATCAATTGGTTGCCTCCCACACGCACCCTGCCTGGGGTCCGGGATCGAACCTGTGACCCTTGGGTGCATGAGCTGACACTCTAACTACTGAGAACACTGAATAATTTTAAGGCAGTGAGAGGTAAGTGTAATTTTCTGGATTATACTGTGTTTCTCTAGCCAAATTGATCCGTTTGTCACCTCATTCACCAAAAGCAAGTAATTGTGCCTATAGTAAACAGCCTACGTGAATAGGCTGATCTAAGCATTCTTGGGAATATAATCCTCCTGACTACAGTTCCTGGTAATCCTCCCAAAAAGTTTATGAAGAATGAATATTAAAATCTACCTACTGATGAGCTATGGTCACCAACCTCCTAGGAGGGTTGGTGGCCGTGGTGGCACACTGCCTCGCTCAAGAACATCAGAGGATAAAGTATGCATATAGGAAAAGATGGACACATTCTGATCTTACAGAGTATAATCCATTCACAACTTCTCAGTTCAGGCTTCAAAAGATGATGTAGTTCTCAGGCTAATCTGAATGTGGGTTGACTAGTGGGAAATCAAGCCCAAAAACCCATGCAGATTGCAACTGCTGCTGCATCTCCATTTACCTTCCCATTCCCCACCCTTTGTGTGGCACCAGACTGACTGACAGTGGGATTTTTTAAATTATATTTTTATTGATTTCAGAGAAGAAGGGAGAGGGAGAGATAGAAACATCAATGATGAGAGAGAATCATTGATCAGCTGCCTCCTGTACACCCCCCACTGGGGATCAGCCTTCAACCCAGGCAAGTGCCCTGACTGGGAATAGAACTGTGACCTCATGAATCATAGGTTGATGCTCAACCTCCTAACCACACCAGCTGGCTGAACAGTGGGATTTTAGATGCATGTAAGAACCCAGGAACTACAGTGCTAGACAAGGTCATTCCCTGAAATGGTGGTATTAGATTGGAAAAGAAATGTCCAGGATGTAGGGATTATGTAGAATTGAGGTGGAACAATGTGAGAATGGGAGGAAGAAATGGCAAATGTGGGGAAGGAAAGAGACTTGGTGCATGATCATGATGGTCTGACAACTTAGACATTTCAGAAAAGTTACCCCAGAAGCTGTTTCTGCGAAAGGGGAATAGGGTGCTATATGTCTGATCACAGCATTCCCTCGACTGAAGCCCTCTGGCAGCTGCATTTACCATTGGAGGTTCCCCACAGCCCAGTCCAACTCCGGCCTGGTGTGCCACTGCCTGTCTTCAGCAGTCAGATTTCTGTCACAGCAAACTGCAAGCCGTTCTCCTCATAGTGTATGTGTTTTAGTTATTGTAGTGCTTACCTGTTGTTTTTGTCTGCCCAGCAAACTATTTCTCCTGGCTCCTCTCCTCCCCATCTCCTGCTTACACCATCTGGGTCTAATAGGCTGTCGATCCTAGAACAGTCTTTGCAGCTTTCCTCACCCCTGGTTAAATTATGCTCTGCTTTGTGTAAGTCCCTATTTAGCACAGTTTAGGTACAGCACCGTGTACATGACCAGGTGAGAAGTACCATACTTCCCGCCCCATGATGCATTTACCTGGAGGTTCCCCACAGCCCAGTCCAACTCCGGCCTGGTGTGCCACTGCCTGTCTTCAGCAGTCAGATTTCTGTCACAGCAAACTGCAAGCCGTTCTCCTCATAGTGCATGCGTTTTAGTTATTGTAGTGCTTACCTGTTTTTGTCTACCCAGCAAACTATTTCTCCTGGCTCCTCTCCTCCCCATCTCCTGCTTACACCATCTGGGTCTAATAGGCTGTCGATCCTAGAACAGTCTTTGCAGCTTTCCTCACCCTTGGTTAAATTATGCTCTGCTTTGTGTAAGTCCCTATTTAGCACAGTTTAGGTACAGCACCGTGTACATGACCAGGTGAGAAGTACCATACTTCCCGCCCCATGAGCCAGCATGAGCCCAGAGATGGGCACATGACCCAAACTAGACCAAGCAGCAGCCTTCCGTAAGATTTTATTTGCTGGCCCTGAAATGGGGATAGCCTTCTACAGCTATTCAGCATAATCCGGTGGCAGAAATAAACTTTCCTTTCCTTTCTTTTCTGATTCACTGGACTCTCTATTTCTTGCGCTGCCTCCTGAGCCACCTAACCTAACACACATGACCCAAACTAGACCAAGCAGCAGCCTTCCGTAAGATTTTATTTGCTGGCCCTGAAATGCGGATAGCCTTCTACGGCTATTCAGCATAATCCGGTGGCACATGGTGTGATACGAGCATGGAGTTATCGGTGGCCAGGTTCCATCCTTTTTCCTGCAACACAGATTATGTCCACCTGCTGTGGGGGAGAAGGCAGTTTATGCACAGGGACAGGGCAGGAGATCTTGGGGAGCTGACGCAAATGCCGCCCTAGATTTCCCAGTTACGCCTTTATTAGCCTAAGCTCTTTTGAGTGGGTTTCTATCTCTTGGATCCAGAAGAGTTCAAGTTAGTCATCATTTGAGCAAAAATCACCTGCATATCCCTAGTGGGAATTCTGTCCTTGAGGGCAGCGTCTCATGAAGCCTTTCTTCAATCCTCTGAAATTAATAACTGCTTCTGAACCTCCTGTCATAGTCCATTCAGGCCACTGAATATATATATGGCTTATAAACATTTCTCACAGTCCTGGAGGCTGGGAAGTCCCAGATCATGGCACCAGCAGATTCGGAGTCTGTGAGAGCCCTCCATCTCCCGGCTGTCGTCTTCTCCCTGCAACCTCACATGCCAGAAGGCACTGGGATCTCTTTGGAGTCCCTGTTATAGGGCACTAATCCCATTCACCCTCTACCTTCATGACCTAATCACTTCCCAAAGGCTCCACTTCCAAACTATAACAGTAAGGATTCGGTCTCAACATGTGAATGTGGGGAGATGTATTCAGTACCTAGTGCCACCATTAACAATGCCTCAGTAGCTGCACTGCATACCTTTTGCCTTGATTTGAGGTTTGATTACAGGTCTCATTCCAACTCCTTTGCAAGTTCTTTGAAGGTGGGGAGCATACCTTAATCACCATGGGACCTTCACAGGGCATCACCTCATAGGTGCTTCAGTTTATTCAGTTATGTACATCTGGACTGGTACTATGATATGCGTTTAAAAATATGAACACTCCTGCTTTCATGGAGTTTACACTGTGGTAGGAAAATTACATGTCCAAAATCCATGGAAACTGCTGAATTGGAAGAAACCTTGAGAAAAGGTAAACTACCTGGGGTCAGACAAAAGGGACCTTGCTTTGCTCACAACTAAAGAAAGGGATTAAAATAGCTCTATGATGCAGCAGAAGAGCATGAAGGACACGTCAGGATGAGCTTGAAAATAGAACTGGGTGTACCACTTTCAAAGACTGTCCTGTGAAAATCGAAAATGCCTAACTACGTGTTTGGATTTACAGGCACTCCCCAGCCTGTGCCACACAGTGACTCAGTGACAGTTCCCTACTGACCAAGAAGTACTTCCTTCTTGCCATATGCTGTTCCCTAAGCATAACAACACACGTGCACAGCTCTCTACCTTTGTGTTTGCTGTCCTCTCACCCTGGCATTTGCTGTTTCCCCCCATTTATTGAAATTTTACTTATTTTGAAGCATTCACTGCATTCATGATTGGGGGTGGGGGGGGTCTTCAGTGTGTTTCTAATTCCTTCCAGCTCTCTATACCAGACAGTAATTTAAGGCTTAACCTCTGCAACTGAAACGTTATGGAAGGGAGGACTCGCAAAGAAAAGATGGAGTTCATGGGAAGTGAGAATTAGTCAATTAATTTGCCTTTGTGAGAGACACTACCACGTTTTGTGTTTTATTTATAAAGAAGGGAATGTATTCTAAGTGTCAAATAGCCATTAACTTTAGGATCACAACCTTTTTGGAGGCTAAAGATCACCAGTTTGTACCTCCATATAAGTGCACCCCAAGATAAGTCCCTCCACAAAACCTCTGCCTCTGCTGGCTGACTGGCCGCGTGGTGTACTAAAGATGGCTTCTGTGGGGAAGGATCGCAGCACAGCGCAAATCCGGGAGTGAGCCCTCACACAGGTGGTGCGAGTGGCCCGTTGCCTAGGCAGCAGAGAGCATCTTTGGGGGCTGTCTGAGCCCACTCCTCAGAGTAACGCCAAGTTGGACATTCGTTTCTGACACCTCAAATCCTGGGAACTTTTCTCAACCAGAGATATGCTTATAAAGATTTGCTGCTCCCCCCTGTTTCGAATGTTTCTCTGCTCACGTTTCCCCCTGTTAACTGAAAAGATTCAAGGATACGTCTCCATACACAGGGGTGGAGGCTGACTAGCTGGCCAGCTTGATTAAATCTTCAATCGTGTGGCTATTAAAGTCACTGTTAACATGGACGGGTCTGCTGCTCTAGATGCCTTAGATGTGTTTCCTCATTCCACGTGCACAGTACCCCTATG